AGTGTCTTGGAGAAAGTAAATAGGGTGTGACCTAACGGCATAACCATTGAAACTAATATTAGGGTTTGGGCCCTCATCAGATTCAGCATCTCCAGATGGCAACTGTAGCATCGTTGCGTGCCATATTATCGTGTACACATGTATGTGCATTCTAATTGCACAACGCAGAGAGATGGACCGATAATTTCATTCAAATAAAAACTCTGTGTTCTTGCATTCCAGCTTTGAAGTGATAAGAATTTAGGTAGATAAACAAACACGCATGCACAGGACTCTCTCATGTTTAGTCTCGAATGTCGCAGAGATTTTAGGAAACGTAGCAGTCCACGTTGCATGCCCCAAGTATATTGGATGAATCACCATTTTTGACGGAAATGATGAGGATTGGGCACGACCCTGCCCAATTATAGCCCAAATCATTGCACGTAATTGGCCCAAAATTCGTCAACATAATTCGGAGTAATAGCTCGGCCGACAAAAAAAAAAAAAACTAATCAGTATTGTGAAAATGTTAACTATTAAACTTTTGTTTAATGTTTTAACCGGTATAATCACCGATCCAATTTTAAATATTGAGTCAATTATTACCAGAAATGGCCATAAGTTTTGTCAAAATCGAGTTCAGAACCAAATGCTAAAGCATTTTATTTGATAAAATGTTGATGTTTTTCTAAATATTTACAAAGGGTAACAAATTATTAATCTGTTAATAATTTTGAAAATGGTAAAATATTTAATTTAATCCTATAAAACTAAGAATTGTATTTATCTGTATATTATAATATTATCATATTTTTAATTAAGATATAAAATTTTGTAATAATCTGGAAAGGAAGACTCATTAAAAATTGTCAATCATTTTTTTTGATAAAAATGAATAATCTGCTTCGAACCAATAACACCATTATAACAAAAATTACTTATACAAAATTAAGAAGGCTATTATTAACTATTAAATATCTATTTATTATTGAACAATTAAGAAATACTTACGGCAAAAATGGAAGTTTTATTTCTATTTATTTTTTGGAAGTTATTAAACTTTGCCTTTAAAACTGTTGACAAAAATAAACTTAGAAGAAACAAAATGTTAGAAGTTTTATCTAGACTAGAAAAACAATAAATAAAGATTAAAACAATTTAAAGATGCCAAGTTATGGAAACTTGTGTCCCCTACAAATTTAAAGATTAAAACAATAATACATCCAATTTAATTTTTGTATATTGTTCTTTTTTAACTTTATATTTTAAACTGGATTACAATTATGTAATCTAATAATTCAATTCAATAATATTTTTATATTTATAATCATCTTGTACACAATAAAAAAATAAAATAAATATTTTTTATTATTTGTTTATTATTATTATTAGCATTCACCATACAGATTTCCATTTATAATAATCATTTGTCAAACCCAAATAGATCAAAACAGATGGGCCAAGCCCAATATTAGTAAACAGTATAAAAGAAAAAATAATGATTCAATGCTTCATAATAAAACAGTACACGGTGATGTATAAATTGATAGGTGCCCGAAAGAGCAGAACAAATAAAACGAAAGCAACAGCGAAATAACAAAATAAAAGAAAAGAGAATGAACTTGGTAAAGCCCAATTCTAACAGTACATACACAGTAACCAGGTCATAAGAGGTGCACAACTTGTAAAACATTCAAAAATTATTTTACACTTCGAAATATTAGTTTCTAAATGTACGAAATAGATTTTTAAAATTAAATTATAAAATCTAATTGTTCTTAAAATAATGTTTCAAAAATTAAGTATGTATATAAAGGAAGAGCGAATAGAAAAGAAAATAGAATTTGTGGCATACTATTCTGTTTGTTTGTTTGTTCTGAAATGGATTCAAGGCAACCCAACTTCATTTTGAAGAAAAGAAACAAACTTTGGGGCATCTGTCAGCCCAAATCAGAAGATAATACAATATTCAATAGTTATTGAAATTAAGATTTTCTAATTAATTATAGAATTGGCATAGCATTTAATATATATATTTTGAGTAAATAAATATAATATTACGCAAGTGTTACACTAAATAAATTAGATATTTATAATTAATCTATCATATAAAAATAATTATTTATACTTTATAAAAATATTTTAAATGTTAATTTGAATTTAGTTAGAGAATGTCCGGCAAAACTAAGTAATAACTGAAAGTTGTCAAACTAATTTGTTGAATTTTAAGTATTGATAAAATTATTTGTTAATGAAATTCATAAATAAAAAATAATAAAAAGAAGTTTAAATAATATTTTTGCATCAAATTTATTTTCGTTGATAAAAATAAATTTTATGGTATTTATAATTTAGTTTTTAATTAATTTTAAACTCTTGAAATTATATATTTTTATTTTAATTGCCATATTTTATTTATATTATGTATACTACTATTAATATCATATTATGTATGCTACTATTAATATTATATATTAATACACTTATATATAAAAAATATTTAAAAAAACAAATAAACATTGATTAAAATAACAATGTAATATAAAAGTATTTAAAAATGAATTAATTTTTCCTTTATTAATATCAATATCTTTTAATTAAATAAATATCATAATAATGATGGAATAATTGAATAAAACTATTATATTATAATAATATAATAAATATTAATAAAAATTAAATAAAACTATGATCTACTGTGATCAATATCATGTTAAAAAAGTAAAAAAGAAAAAAATCCTATAATTTATTAAAAAAAGGGCTAAGATAGTAAAATCCTACATTAGATGAAAAAAGTGATAAAATAAAAAAATCAATTTATATAAAAAGGATAAAAATATATTTGATAAATATTTTAAAACAAAAGCGAAATAAATATAAAAAAGTTTAAAGTTAACATTTTTAAAAGTCATTAATTTCACATAATTTTTTTAAAAGGATTTTTTAATAGGAAAATATACTTACTTGAAAATTAACTAAAAACACCCAATCCTAACTCCGAAACACAATAGCTATGACTATTACAAAAATGAATATATAAATATAAGTGTGTATAACACTTATCGATCACGTTGTGAAGAATTGCTTCATTTCTTTTTATAACTAATTTCTTATTCTGTGTTTATGATGACAATTGTCTGTGTTCCCTTTTTTGTTTCTTATTTTTTCCTAATATTTGGCAGGGTTTGGATACGTGTATAATTATGCTGGTGAAACAGTGTTGGTGCCTTAAACATAGATCTCCCACGTGCAGTAGAAATGGAAGAAATGGAAGGCACTGTGTTATCGACCATCCTAATTTACTTCTAAACTCTTCGTCTGGCATAAAACTTAAATCGATACAAATCAACTATTAGAGCTCTACAGTTTATAATTCAATTTTATAATGAAAAAAAAAAATAATCTTATAATGATTAAAAATATATTAAATTATAATATATAATTAATTCGTTTGTGTCCTCCGCTGCTTTTCCATGATAACATGACACTAACAAATGGGGGACCGAAAGATATGTACCAACCTCTTACTTAACAAATTGGATAAGAAACAACAACATCATGTCATGACATTGTGTTCATGCATGCACTCAAAAAAATGCATTAATGTATTCTAGTTCTCCAACCATGTGGAAGTTCAAAAATTATTAGTGGATACTATTAAGTTATAATTTCAGAATTTGTGACAAAAAGATTCAAAAAGTACAAATATAGTAAATGGTATGATAGTGATAGAAAAAGTATTAAGAATTCATAGAAATGTTTAAATTATGGAAATGTCTGCAAATCATTACTTAACAAAATTCGATACTTAGCTTCCCCTTTGCGTTCTGTTCATAAACAATTTATTTTTGTAACTGCAACGTGTACTACATGTATACTTTTTGGTGTCTAAATTTTCATAAAATATGTGATTCAATCATAATATATTAACTTAGCAAAAAAAAAAAAGAACCAGTTTATCGCAATAAGCTAATCATGGTTTGAATTTTGATCGAGAAAGCTGATCATATACTTGGCAATGATATTAACAGATGGATTCCAAAGAAATATACGTAAAAAAAGTTATTATAAATATAAATTTTAAAATGATTATTGTAAAAATCAATAAACTTCAATATATATGATAAAACGTGATTAAATTATAGAAAAACTTCTATACTTTTCAATACATTTTAATTAAATGATATTTTCTAAGTTTAAAATTACTAGACATTTATTTTTTTATGAATTTTGTCCTAATTAACACTTGTTTTTTTTCTTTTTGTCACACGTATTGATTCTATTGAACATCAGGTGAATGAGACCTATATATAATAAACCCGTGACCTGGAATTGGACGTGTGCTTACAAATCGTTTGTTAAGTTCTTAATTCTACATCAACTACTCTAACTTCTTCATCAACGATTCTCTTAACCTTATAATAATTAATCAGCGAAATTCTTAAGATTTTAAATTGTAAAAGTTTTCTATATGCCGCACACAGAGATCAGATAGCTTTATCAGCGGACGTTTTTGAAGGGATCATATGACTCGGTTTTTTTGATATGAAATTAATAAATTATAAAACAACTGGAAGACAAGTCTAAGGGGCAAGACCAGCTTGGAGCATGTAAATGCAGTCACTAGACCCACCATTTTTCTTGTCCTTTTTGCTTATCCAGAAACAGAGGAAGACTTCATTCCACATAATTTGAGACTTAACAGTACAAATATAATACAGCAAAAACCTAAAAATAATAATAAAAAGTTTCATTTCATCATTACAATAGTGGGTACAAAGTTTTTTCTTACGTCACAGACAATATGCGCGCAGTAAAATAAAAAGAAAGAGGGCTAGAAGAGGTTTCGACTGAACCCGTGCTTCGTCTGACTGGAACAAAGGCTTCTTCTACCCATGAATAATTTGGTATATGAACATGTGTACACAAAAACAGAATTAAAAAAAAAATGTAAAATAAAAGTGAGAAACATGTACGTATAAATGAAGCAGGAATGTGGTGAATTGTGCGCCAGTGAATTAAATGCCAGCAAGGCACTCTGGTGGGGTCACTGGGTACCTTGACTTATCTCTACAGTAATCATAGATGACATGGTTCATACGAACCCACCTGTACCTTCTGGCTTCAATGGCGTTGAGAGCCTGATATGCAGCCCCCTCCCACCAGTTTCTTGGGTTGGAGACACAGTTAGCAGGTCCTGGCACTGCGCACCCTTCAATGTCAAAGTCCTTGTAGTAAGCGTAGAAGGGTGCTTTGCTCCAGTCGATTTTCTCCAAACCACCTCTTGTGGCCCAGTCATCAGCTTCCCACAGTGTCGAATACACTCCCATCGCCTGCATCCTTGGGTATGGAACCCCCATCCGCTCGTTATTCTTATACACTCTGATTGGAAAATCATCTACGTAGAATCTGCATGTAACATACAAACAAATTAGCCATTGGTATTTTTCAATATATACTTTTTAACAAGTTCAATTTAGTTATCATGGTTCCAGTGATGTGCATATATATATATATATACTTACACTATATGACGATGGTTCCACAGAATTGAGTAAGTGTGGAAGTCCGCGGAAGGGTCAAACCAGAGGTTGACCCTCTGTTCTCTGTCACCCTTTCCGTGAGCGAAGACGTTTGTTTGAACTGTGTAAGGTTGTCCACTACGGTTCCCCAAGAACTCGAAATCAAGCTCGTCGCGAACATTGTCCGTGTCAGAGTTCAACTACCACAAACCATAACATATATATTATTATATGTCAGTATTCCAGTTTGGGCTATGAGACTTTTCCAAGCAATTAAAGATACGTGGCACGAAAATTTTAACTTACATAAAATGCAGTGACTGTGCCAGCAGAGTCTCCTGGGACGAGTTTGATCTTCATGCTAACACGCCCAAACATGTACTTAACCTTGGAAGAAAACCCACATCCTGTTAAAAGAAAGGGTATTGTTATATTTAATGTAGTGTAGAAATATATGTTAGTATATGATTGTTTGAACGACAGAAGAATATATATGTTAGTACCAGAGTTTTGGTCAAGTTTGAGTTGGATTGCCCTGCCTTGATCAATTTGCGTGATATGGGAGTCAGCCCAGGCGACACGAAAGTCCTGCAGAAAAGTGGCTGGTCGACCCCAAACACACGCAGCATATACGAGAACCCATAGGAAAATGACACTGGCATTTCTAAAATGGTAGAAGGTGGCCATGGATATATAGGTATGTTGTTTATATGGAATAAATTTTTTGTTGTGAAATGGAAGATGGAGGGAGTGTGATATTTATATGGGAAAGCAAAGGAAAAGCAAAGGTAGGAAAGGGAAGGGAATTAAGGAGTGTAGCATTGAAATGAAATGTGTCAAACAGGCCTTAGCTTTCCATACAGCTAATGGCTTGCCGTCATTAGGTCCTACCCAACACTTTGTATTCTTGTTTCTCGTCTTTAATCCTCTCCGCCCTAAATCACTTTCTCACCGTGTGCATATATACCACACATATATGTCTACATGATAATTTAATGAACACCCTTCATGTGTTGATGCATGTTACCAATTGCTAAACGCATCCAAGTATTTTCTTTCATATCCTACTACCTTCCAAGTTATCTCGGTTCCTATTCAAGGTTTTCAAAATTTCCCCACTAAACTTCCAATGTTGAATCATATTACTAATGTAGTAGTACTTACATATTTTTAATATCACATCTCCCTTGATTAAATTTTAGCCACGGTCTTGGCCTTGGAGTTTCTAAACGTATTTTGTATGTACTCCCTGGTTTTACTTCTCATAATATATACCATAAGGGTTAACCGTTTGCATTAGCTTTCCTAGAGATTTATAGGTCTTGAAACCATTAAAAATAAAAGACAATTCATTGACAAAACACAAGTATTTCTTTCTGGCTCAACTTTATATTAGACTGGATCTCATAATTAAAGTTTATTGTCTATTAATTAAGATTTTACATATATAACTTTTTAAATTGTTATTTGTTTTAATTGTATATAACTTTTTAAGTTGTTTTTTGTTTCACTTGATTATGTGTACTTATATGATGGATTTTTTTTTCTTCAATTAGATACATCACCAATTAAGATATATATAAATCTTATTTTTAAGTAGGGTTGATATAAACAATTTTTTATTTCAAATAATTTATAATCTCAATTAATATTATTCATATATATATATATATATATATATATATATATATAAATTATACTTAAAATAGGGCTCGTCTTGATTTGTTGAATGCAAATACTTTTTATCTAACGGTTAAAAGCTATTTTACGATATTCTAAAATTTGGTTAAGGGATTGGTAATTTTCAAAAGATTATATATGTAAATATGGATTCGGTAATAATTTTTAATCATCTCATACATATAAAAGGACATGATATTTGCAAGTAATGTTGATATTTTTATAGAAGTGTAAAACCTTATTATATTGAAATTTTAAGTTGTTTATCTGTCACTATAGCGAAGAAAAGTCATAAGTACGACTTTTGTTTATTTTTATATTAGTTTCTTTTATTTGTGTTAATTACTGCTATTCTTGCTCTGGAACATTTTAACCAAATCAACGTGATGTTTAATTTGGACAATTATGGAGGATTTTTTTAATTTTTGAATTAAATCATATTTATAATTAAATAAATAAGTAAATCCAAACTCAACATAGAATCAACTGATATTTTCCGTTGCTAAATTCAAAAATTGCTTACGCATATATATGATATTATAAATTTTCAAAATTATGTATGAATAAATTTTTCAAAATGAAAATTTTGCATCCAAATAATTTACTATTTATATACATGTTTGGGAACTAATTTACAATTGTATAAAGTAGGCTTAAATATATTAAATTCTTAAAACGAGTGAATTTTAAATTTTTACTTATAATTTTTTTTCTTTACATAGTACTATGCGTTGAAAAAAAAATTAAATATCATAAATTGTAATATAATGTTGATATATAGTCATGCATCTTTTAAGTTAATATTAATCACTAATAACATATTTAATAAAAACAACTCACATTTAGCTTCATATATAAAAATATAATTTACAGTCCTTACTATTTCATATTATTGCTAAGTAATTTATAATACATTTTGTTTTAATGAACTTTTTTTTAAATTCTAATAACTCACCATTTTTTTAATTTATAATAATATTTTATTGTTCTTAAAATTGAGTTATTCCCAAAAGTAACGAAAAAAAAATGTTTTAAGCAAAACTTTAAGTGTCACGTGACATCTTTCGTCTGGATGATCCTTTTTATATGAGAATTACAGAAAAGTGTATGTTATGTTTAATTTAAAATAAAAAGAGATTAGGTAAGTATCTTATTGTTTATATTTTTATTAAATTTGTTTATATTTATTCAATATTAAATTGTTTCCTATTCAACAGTTTTAAATTACAAAATAGAAAATATTATTGTAAAAAAAAACTCAAATTTCATGATTTTTTATTTTTTAAATAAACTACACACAATTTTTATTTGAATATAATCCCCGTGGTTAGAAATGGAAATGAAATTAATAATTTGTTTATGAATTATGTAAAATACTTATATTGTTCAATCACAAGCAATCTTATAAATAGATATAATTATTAAATATATATTAATTATATTCACACAATGAAAATGATCTATTAAAAAGATTTTCTGATTTTTTTTATGATTGTTATAAATAAATTATGTGATCAGATATTTGATTTTAAGATTTGTGCATATAAAAAGGTAGCTGTTAAAAACCTAGAATACAAAAATGAATACTCAACTTTGGAACAATAATATTTCAAGTTCATCTTAAAAAAATTATTAGAATCAGTTTCTAACATTTAAGAATTGATTATAAGTTGATAAATAGGTTTGGTATGATTTTAATTGTTCATTACTGGTGCCAGGCCTAACAATGTTACTTATGAGCTCCACTGGCATCCTTAAATGTCCTTTGTGAAGTTTGAGGGTGGTGTAGTTGAGGTGAGGCCAGCCATTAATTGATAATTGTTTGAGCTATGTATGTGTTAATCTGCACAGTGTGGACAGCTTAGAGAAATTGATTGATTACGAACAGGTTCAAATGGAAGCTACTTCCAACGTGGGACCTACTCATTCGTCCAACCAGCCATTCAATAATTATATTCTGAATATGACATTTATCTTTGTCATCATCATAGCTACATATTTATCTTCACAATGGATGAATTTAATCTCAGTTTTTTATATATTGTCCGTTGTTTGTCCTAAATGTCAACTGTAACAAACAAGAGCAGAATGAGGTGAAGGGTTGTCCAAATAACAAAATGAAGTGCAGTGCGAAGAAGTAATGTTTTTGCCCCAAACATAACACAGAAGATGCCTTCTTTGTTGCCAAAAAACAAATGGTGAGGAATTTAAATAATTTATAAGAAATTATACATTCAATATTTTTGAAATATCATTATACCAAAAAAACAGATAGGGAAGCCTTCTTATCCAAACGCAACCTCCCCTTCTTCTTTTTTGTGCTAAGGAGGGCCTCAAGCCGAACTTCTTCAATCTCACCCACTAATTTCATCAACCTTCACATACATGTTTACTATAAATACCGTAAAATAATAATGGCATTTATATTAATGCATGCCCAAATACCAGCATTATGCATGGGTATTAAATTATAGAAAGCACCACAAATCTATTGTTGAATTATTGACAAGCGTATTAAAATTATCTATTGTAATATAATATTTTGATTAAATAAAAGTCGATCCTACGAGGAACGGTTTTAATGGAAATTCTCAATTATGTTTACTAAGTAGATTAAAACAGAGTGAGTTTTGCAAATAAGAGTTGAATTGAAATTAAATGACAAAAAACTGTAAATTGTTGAGAAAATATCAATTAAAGGTACTTACTTAGGATTGACTTTCTTCCTTATCCATCTTTTGTAATGACTATGTCAATTAAGAACGTCAATTAACCTAACTATGTTGATACCACCTACTCAAATCATCAACGTTGATTCCTCACACATGAAATTCATAAGAAAACCTAATAAATGTTGATTCATCACACAATTAATAGATTTTACAGCATTAGGGTTAGGGTGTTAAGCAATTGATACATTCATTCCATTCCTGACAATTAACGTAACAAATATTCTTACCGTGATCTAGGGTTCAAGATATATTTTCCAATCATACCTCAAACAATCAAGAATAAATAATTCCAAAGCATAAATGATAAGAATAACAACATTAAAGTATAGATTAAGATCTCAAAATATCACCATGATACAAAAGAGTTCAAAGGAAGTGCACCGAATCCTAAGAGAATGAAGTTAGTCATTCATGTTGGCCATTACAATGCTCCAATTGATGAAGAAGTGAAAAATTGATGAAGATTGGACAGAACCCAAACAGTAGTCGTGTCTCCTCCTCTCCAAGACTGCTTGCTTTTCTTAAAACACAACTTATTATTTTATAAGAGAATTTGGGACGGGTCTCGCATCATTCATTCGCTTAAGCGCTCTTCTTTCTTTCAATTTTACTCCAATTATGCTGACAATTATGCTCCTTACTCTTGTATCAAGGTATTCTCGAATTCATCCTATATTGGGAGAAAAATATATTAGAATTAACATAAGTTAAGTGGTTTCCTAACAATTTAAGGTATAATTATATCAACTTTTTACCACTTAACATTTATTTGAAAATTATTGACTAAAAGTAAATAGAAGCAAGTGGAGTCATTATTTTTATATTTAACAAACAATATTTTATTATTGGCTTTTGTTTAAACTTAAAGTGAGTATTTTTAAAATGATTTTTTTTTTCACTTATTCTTAAAAAACATATCAGAGAAAAAAAGTCTATTCTCTTAAAGAAGGACGTATTTTTAAAAAAGAAAAGAAAAAACATAAACTAGCCTTCTCATATGATTATAAAAATAAAAAAAACGTTTTATCCATTAAAAGAATTTTGTGAAATAAGCACGGGTATTAATTCTGTATCTTGTTTTAAAAAATTTGTAAGAATAATATTATATATATTTGTGTGCCTTCGATTTACATTGGTATTTGGTAATGATGGAGGAAAGGAATTTTTTGAAGGGTGAGGTTCCTAAAAACAGGGACAAAGACAGTAGTGGACTACAGACGGGCTACAGCCATCAATAGCTGATAGCGAAACCTACAGAAACAACGATAAGGAACT